TTTTCCTCAATGGAGTATATAGTCAGTTCCAGTCACCGTTTCGCTCCCGGTTATTGTTCCATTTGCAATCTGGGTAAAAATCTATCTACAAACGCGGGAGTAATCCAGCCCCCCACCCCGGGCCACAGGTTCACCCCCCCCCCCCCGAAAAACTAAGACCGGCCCCCGACCAAAAAAGGGAACAGTCATGTGGCCCTCGCAGGAAAAAGTTTGGGGACCCCTGGTGTAAACTGTTGTAGCTCTACCTCTAAAGCTAACAAAAATGAATGACGCTCCTGAATTGGCTGCTTTGCAAACATCAGGTAATAGCTTGTTCAGTAGCATTACGTCTATTTAAGCTTCCGAAGCTGCATTTTCTTTGAGACACTTTACAAATTATCAAAGAAAATTTTGCCTATTTGCAAATTCTTTTTGGTCCACAGAAAAATCTGTCAATTGGTGAATCCATGAGAACTAAACTGGGAATACGTGGGCGTCCAGTTCTGTTATGGTCTCATTTAATTAGACCATTTTCTGTCACTTGTTTACTCTTGTCTCCTACACGGACTGTGGTAAACTGCACTGAACCACTATTTCTTCTGTTGTTTTTACATGTTTGACCAAGATTGTGAAGCTGTTGGTGTATTTAAGTGTGCTGTACTGGTGCAGAGTTATCAAATGCTTTTGTAATTCAGTACATTTATGTCTGTGTTGGAAAAAAAAAAAAAAAACAGAAATGTTTTGAGTCAGGTCAGCTGTTTTTCTGTCAGTACCAGCCGATACCAAGTCTCAGATATCTGCATTGGAAGTAAAAAATAGATAAAAAGGGGATAAGTGCAAATCAAATAAAAAACATTTGCACTGCTGGCAAATGTTTATATATATATATATATATATATATATATATATATAGGTTCCATAAAATAGAGGCAGTGGGAATGTCCCCCTCTTTGCCAGCACTGTTTTGTGATCAAATTGATTAAAATTGAATTCACAAGCTGTCCCATGTGCTCATGTTGGGTCAACAGCCTCAGCGCCCCTGATGAAAGTATTGTCTCTAACTAACCCATGGCTTTTCTTCCTCTTCTCTCCCATTCTGTCCCTCCTCTTTTGATCATGGAGCAGTAACATGCCTGAACAACAAATAAGGTCTCAACACACACTCTCACTGTTACTAATACTCAAAAAAAGAAGCTGAGATGAGCTTTTGTTCTGAGCCAGCCTTTTTGCTCTCAAAGATGTTAAATGAGGGCATTGATACATAAATTTGCATTTGTTTCATCCATAACCATTGCTCTAGCTAAAAACCTTTAACTATGCGCCCCCAATTTGCAGAGCAACTTCAAGAGCTTCTGTTCTCATGCTTGTTTCACGCCAGGCTAGCGTGACTGTTCAATCGATTTGCCTTTGTGTACTCTTCACACATAAGTAGTCTAAACAGTGATCTATCTTCACTCGGATTGTGCAGTTTGTCAATTGGCAATTTAGCCGAGCAGTGCTCAAATTGTTCTTTAGCTGCGGCTCCTAATTTGCCGTTGTGTCGGTTGTGGAAGACTGCGCTGAGCAGGTACAGAGCTGCTGTGATTGTGGTTGATCAAAGCACTGAGATCTTCTCCTCATTATGTCTGCTGCGAGAAGGAACTATACTCCCTGGTGGTGTTACAGGCTAAAGTTTCTCTTTCTTCACCTCTCCTCTGGGGCATGTCTTGGATTTCTTCCTGCTGTGTAACCTTAAACCGTAACATACCGTGCTCCTTTGTTCACCTTCTGCCACCTTTTACTTACAAAGAAAAAACAGAAACCCAGAATGTTACTCTCTCTTCCTGACAAACTGCTTTCTGTTCCTGTTCTGCTATCAGGTCTTCCCCCAAACCCCTTTTACCTGTGGGTTTCCCCTTTTACTCTTTTGGTGTCTTGATCTCCCTGTGAGCCCTGGTGAATTTTAGTCGGCACGTCTTTTACAGAGGGTGGGGAACCATGGAGCAGCTCTGCCACTTCAGCTCCAGGCAGGGGGGCTGCCCAGGGCAGAGTGTCCCAGGCAAAAGAGGCTATTCTGGGCAGAGGGAGCCCCTCCACGCAGCTTCAGGATCCCAGTAGAAACAGGAGGGCTCATCCCAACTGGGCCATATTGGGTAAAGAAATGTTGTGTCTTTGTGTCTGATCATGTATGATTGTTTTCACAGAGATGAAAAAAGACAGAATTTATAGACACGTTGCAATGTCACGTCTCACAGGCAGCGTCTTGCCGACAATGACTACCATTGGTTTTAGCTCTCAAGTTAACAACATAATGGGCTAAAGCATAAATATATGTGTGATATATAAAACGCAGTGCTTTGTTACTAATTGTCAACACTATGACAGCAAGACAACAAGATCTAAGGGTGTCCAATTTCACAAGTCAGGAAAATGTTTTAATTTAAAAAGAAATAGGGAAGGAGAGTTAAGTAGGACAGTTATGCTAGCTTGACTTTTACAAACTTAGCATGTAGATGTGCTGCAGAATTTGGCAACCTACACACCAACACTCTGAGAGATCATCAGCAGAGCAGGTGTTTAATTAGCTAATCAACCACAGCTGTGTTCAGATGATCAGTTACTAATAATCACAAAAGAAACATCCAGCCTGAAAACATAAAACTGTAATGGAGTGAATGTTCTGTTCAATGTGTGGGAAATGTTTGAGTATTGAATACTGATACATTAGTGGTATTGTTGTCTGTTGCTATGGCAGGAAGTGTGTGTTACATAGTCAGCACAGAGAGAGAAATAAAATAAGAATATGAGTGATTTTGAGTTATTCAATGGTTTTCTGCGTTATTTTTACCTTTGCTGTGGCGCACCCCACTAAATGAGTAATACCTACATCTCCAGGTTTCATTTAGCTAACAGAATTATTCTACTGCAGCAATGCAGCTATGGATGGCAATTAAAATAATTTATTTTTTTGCCCTCCAGCATTGCGCCCATGTGCAAAATTGTGGACATCAACAATATCATGCAACATCTATATTAACCCTTCCACATATGTCTACCAAGAAAAACTTATTTTGCAATATATATACTGCTATTGCTTTATCAACCGGGTCTTATGCTACATTATAAAAACTTTCTAGTAGATGGTTTACCTTTGATATGTCGTCAAGTGCTGACTTTGATTTACCTGTTTTCGTCCATAAAAGCACTATTTTCAGTGGTTTCGTACTCCTGGTTCATATTACATTTTCAGTAGCAGACCATGCTAATCAAGTCAAATGCGTGCTAGCCAAGCTAGTGTTTTAAATGTAAACATATTTGAAGTCATTTGAGTCAAACTCTGTAAGTCAAACTGTGGTCGTATCACCTTCAAGTACAGTAGATCTTCCTGAGCTCATTATCCTCGCTAAAAGCTTTGCTGACAGTTTGAGTCTCTGTCCAGTTTGCCAAAAGAAAAAACAACCGTTTTGTTCATCAGGAGAATCTCCAACGCAATTGTGTTTCTCTGTTCAGCTATCCAAGAAGAGACAGGGATGGATGACGTGAGGAGGAAGCAAGAGTAGGAGGGAGAAAGAACCAGAGGGAATGCCTGGTTTTGATGGTCCCCGTGCGCCATTTTAGCTTATGAATTTCCATATTAGAGGGCAGTCACTCTGCATGACCGCTACATTAGTTTTATGGCCAAAAAACAGCTTATTGAAGGCAGCGATGGCAGGAGGAAAATCATTCATTTCACATCACAACCTGCTGAAAAGCCAACCTGTTATGTGTTTGAATGAATTTTATGTTATGATTCACTGCATTCCAGGTTCATAAACGTGTGCTCAAACACAACTCCTTGTGAATTTATATATTCACAGCAAGGACCGAAAAGGTATTCATCAGTCAAGGAAGTAAGGCCACGTGCAGAGAGCGTCATTTATGTGTGGATGCGCATTTGCATTCATGCACAGCCAATCAGAAACAGAAATGCTCTCAATTTGGCAAACACTTTTAGCTTCAGGTCTCGCCGAAGGGATTAATGAGGCTGTGAGCTGGAATCACGATCATGGACAAGTACGGACTAAATGGTGAAGGGCAGAACACATTTTTTAGCTTGATTTCACTTCTACCCTCATCTGTTTGAACCCTTGTACGTAGAAATGGGGTCCAACCGACCCCACATACGTAAAACTTGTATCATTTGCCATAGTCCTCTACATTTGCCTCAGTCTTCGCACGCACAAGGGTTCATACTCTTTTTATTTAGAAGATATTTACATTTTTTTTAAGAAATCATTTGCTGAAAAAAGCATTGTGTGCTTTTTTCTTTTCAAAGAGGCTGATCTGGAATATTCTAAAAGCTAAAATATCAACTTTTTACTGACATCTTTAAAAGCTGTTGCTGAAATGGTCTGTTTTCTTTGCTTTGTCCAGTCTCCTAATCTGATTCCTTGTGCCTTTAAAGTTTTGAAATAAGCTGTGTGACAGCTGCAGATGATTCATCTGTGTCATAAAAAGTATTCATTAATATATCACAATAATTCACTTGCAGTGACTAAGTGAAGATCCCTGACAGTTAGAAAGAAGCAGTAAAAATATATCTACACTTTTAAGTCTAACTGGACACCTGCACTTTTGAGGATTTAATAGCACATTATCAGTCATAAACATTCATATTCATTAAATTAGAATGTTACTAAGACACACATTATATAGACTAATCACATCCAGGCTGACATTTTCATGTTTTCTTTACTTCTGTTAATTGATGTTTTATTGCTCAACCTAATCAAAACAGATATTTAGGATGAGAATATTACATCAAACAATGAAAAGCATTTTATTGAAGAAACGTGGACTTAATGAAAAGTATGTTTAACACAGTAGAATTAACTTTGCCTGAAAGTTTGAACAAGCACACACTCCACAGCAGAGCTGGCTGGGAACTCGTGAATTTGGCAGTTTTTCTGTAACGTTATGTTGTCTCTCTGCTACTAGCACAGCTGCAGTACAGTGGCAATATGGTATGCAGTGAAGATGGGAAGAGTGTGAACAATGTGTACATACGCTTTATTAACAGCGTTAAGACCTTCCTCCAGGCTCTGATTAGTTGTTTCTGAGAGGGAGAGGTGAATTTCTACAGATGGCAGTAGGACCACTGAGGAGCTTTATGTTCTGTCTCATATTCTACTGTCAGGACATAGAAACAGTTTTAACAAAAATGTAACCACTGAAGCTGTAAAGGTTCTTTTTATCTGATAAATGAGCCTCATAGAATCAGCTATAAATCTGTCACACGTTACATCAGATCTTCAGCCAGTTATAAATAAAGTCAAACTACTTTGCTTTTAGAGTTTAATGGGCTCAGTACAAATTGACCCCATTAAAAATAGAATTGACATATTTAAACTTTAATTATGAAATGGTGTTCACTTTTTAAGGACACTGAAGTCCTCTCATGTCTATCCCAGGAGGGATGGGATAAAACACACTGCAAATTATATGGGAAATATCTTAACAACATAAGAAAGAGAATAATCATAAAAACAAAATAAAATAAACATTACCAGTAATCAGCTGCCCTGAATTTTAAATTTCAGCGTTATCTACAGAAAATCCCTTGTTGTTCAACATCCAGTCTTTGAAAGATTCTGGAGATCTATGGAAACATTCAGCTGCCGGAGCTTGGAAATCAGTTCAGGAGTGGTATCTCTTTCTCAGAAAGTTTTCTCGTTAAAATGAGACGATTATGTCAAAGTTTCTCATTATAACAAGACACAAAAGAAAATTTTTCGTTATGCTATTTTATATGTCATTATAACGAGGAAGTTTCTCAATACAACAGGAAATAAAAATACGCTCCTCTGACGAATTATGACTTGTTTCCAAAAGGTGTTGTTGTTTTGTTATTACAACCTTTCTTATTTGAAAGATAACATATTATGTTTTATCAAGATGCCTTCTTGTTTTGACAAGTTTTATATCTTGAAAAGTTCTTATAACAAGATACTGCTCTCGAATTTATTCCCCAGCTCTGGCAGTTAAACACTTACTCATAATCAAGGACACCTTAAAAATGTAAATATTGTCTGTCTGTTTGAAAGGAAAATATAAATCAGTAGAGAGTGACTTAAGATTTTTTATCGGTACCGCACTAGTAAGTAAACCTTAATGTGTGGAAGTATGAAATCTGTGGCGTAGTGAATGACAAACCTTCTCAGACGAGTCTATGAGTAATTTGAGATTTCCACTCTTTGGCTCTCAGCCCTAAATGTTAACTCTGTATTCTGTGTGTGCGTGCGTGTGTGTTTTGTGGCAGTGTGTTTGAGTGTGTTTACCCACAGGGATGTCTGTGTTAGGATTAATTAAAAACTTGAATCCCAGCTCTGGAGCAGGAATTTGGATTCCTCCTAGGATTCAACTGTAAATATTGTTCCTCCAAAATTATCTCTGAAAAGAATCTATTGTCCCAGGTAATAACCAAGTGTTTTTTTTGATGCTACTGTGTTTCAGAAATAGAAGTGGTATAAAAGTTCATAGGAAGGAACTGTGTATCAAAATAAAAAAACAGGCATAGCTGTAAAGACAGATTAAATTCCTATCAATGGTTAGAGAAATCTGATTTAGAAGAAGAAAAAATAACCATTTGGGAGGTTTGTATGACCATAATTGAACAAAGGACAAAATACACATGGATGGAAAAGCAACTATCTTTGAAAAAAACTTAAAAGCAAGCAGCACTAGAGTGGTTTGTTTACATAAAGAATGCATTAAACATGACTGTAGTTTCAGGAAGCTCAGCTGGGCATGTTGCCCAAGAGAAAGTAGCATTTCTGCTATCAAACATCAAGGATTATCACAATAAAGACGTCAAAGTGTCTCTTGTATCAAAATGACACCTGTCATTACTTAGGATCAAAGCACGAAATACTCCGAAGAAGACACTCCACCAACCCAGACTGCTGTACGAACAGAGAATATTTATGTCAAAACCACACAAGCTGCCATGAGAAATGTCCTTTTCTTTTATTCCCTCTAAGCAGTTTTTTTCTTTTCCTGAAATCTGTGTTGTGGACAAAAGCTTCATGTCAGATTGAAAGTGCACGTGTAGGAAAGCAGCTTCAACATTTCTGGCAGGTCAAAAAGTCCTTTTTCCCCTTTTTCTTCTTTTGCTCAGAAAAGTCGCACCTTTTCACTGAAACAATATGAAATGGGTTCTTTGTGCAAGAAGACATGCTGGGCAAAGACGCTAAGTTCTGGAGTTACCTGGCAGGTAATTGTTTTTGATAACAGCCAGGATGAAAGGTGAAGACCGGGAAAAATGTGTGTGTTTCGTTCATGACAGTCACGTAGGATCAGTCATGATGACATTTTCTTCCTGCACACTCACAGTTTGAATTATGGTTTTAAATTTAACTAGTCATTAGTTACCAAGTGACCTCTGAACACCTCAGGCAAGAGTCTTCAAGTGCCTGTATATACTAATTACTGTAGTCCATCAGGTCCATGTAATAC